AATAGTCTAAAGTCACAATTATTGAAACTGGAAAAAGAAGAACAAATGAGGCCCAAAATCAGCAGAAAGAGGGACATAATAAAGATCAGAGAAGAAATAAATAAAATTGAGAAGAATAAAACAATAGAAAAAAATCAATGAAACCAAGAGCTAATTCTTTGGAAAAATAAACAAAGTAGATAAGCCTCTAGCCAGACTTATTAAGAATCTACACACATCAACAGAATCAGAAATGAGAAAGGAAAAATCACAACAGACCTCACAGAAATACAAAAAAATTTTTAGAGAATACTATGAAAATCTATATGCTAACAAGCTGCAAAACCTAGAAGAAATGGACAACTTCCTAGAAAAACACAACCTTCCAAGACTGGCCAAGGAAGAAACACAAAAGTTAAACCAATTACGAGCAAAGAAATTGAAGCGGTAATCAAAAAACTGCCCAAGAACAAAACCCCCAGGCCAGACAGATTTACCTCGGAATTTTATCAGACATACAGAGAAGACATAATACCCATTCTCCTTAAAGGTTTCCAAAAAATAGAAGAGGAGGGAATACTTCCAAATTCATTCTATGAAGCCAGCATCACTCTAATACCAAAACCAGTCAAAGACCCCACCAAAAAAGAAAATTACAGCCCAATATCCCTGATGAACATAGATGCAAAAATATTCAACAAAATATTAGCAAACCAAATTCAAAAATACATCAAGAGGATAATACACCATGATCAAGTGGGATTCATCTCAGGGATGCAAGGATGGTACAACATTCGAAAATCCATCAACATCATCCACCACATCAACAAAAAGAAGGACAGAAACCACATGATCATTTCCATAGATGCTGAAAAAGCATTCAACAAAATTCAACATCCATTCATGATAAAAACTCTCAACAAAATGGGTATAGAGGGCAAGTACCTCAACATAATAAAGGCCATATATGACAAACCCACAGCCAACATCATACTCAACAGCAAGAAGCTGAAAGCTTTTCCTCTAAGATCGGAAAAAAGACAGGGATGCCCACTCTCCCCACTGTTATTCAATACAGTACTATAGGTCCTAGCCATGGCAATTAGACAAAACAAAGAAATACAAGACATCTAGATTGGTAAAGAGGAAGTCAAACTGTCACTATTTGCAGATAACATGATATTGTACATGAAAAACCCTAAAGAATCCATTCAAAAACTACTAGAACTAATATATGAATTCAGCAAAGTTGCAGGATACAAAATTAATACTCAGAAATCTGTTGCTTTCCTATACACTAATGACAAATTAACAGAAAGAGAAATCAGGAAAACAATTCCATTCACAACTGCATCAAAAAGAATAAAATACCTAGGAATAAACTTAACCAAGGAAGTGAAAGACCTATACCCTGAAAACTATAAGACATTCTTAAGAGAAATTAAAGAGGGCACTAACAAATGGAAACTCATTCCATGCTCTTGGCTAGGAAGAACTAATATTGTCAAAATGGCCATCCTGCCTAAAGCAATCTAAAGATTCAATGCAATGCCTATCAAAATACCAACAACATTCTTCAACAAACTGGAACAAATAGTTTTAAAATTCATATGGAACCACAAAAGACCTCGAACAGCCAAAGCAATCCTGAGAAGGAAGAATAAAGCAGGGGGCATCTCGCTTCCCAACTTCAAGCTCTACTACAAAGCCACAGTAATCAAGACAATTTGGTACTGGCACAAGAACAGAGCCACAGACCAGTAGAACAGAATAGAGACTCCAGACATTAACCCAAACATATACGGTCTCTTCAACAGCTGGTGTTGGCAAAACTGGATAATTACATGTAAGAGAATGAAACTGGATCATTGTCTAACCCCATACACAAACGTAAATTCAAAATGGATCAAAGACCTGAATGTAAGATATAAAACTATATACCTTTTAGGAGAAAAATAAGAAATTTTGGGGATCTAGGGCTGGACAAAAAGTTCATAGACTTGACAACAAAAGCATCATTCATAAAAGGAAAAATAGGAAAAAATGGTAAGTTGGACTCCATTGAAATTTAAAAGTTTGTCTGCAAAAGAACCCTGTTAAGAGAATGGAAAACAAGCTACCAAGTAGGAGAAAGTATTTGCAAACCACCTATCCAACAGAGGACTAGTATCTAGAATATATAAAGAACTATCAAAATCCAACAGCACAAAACCAAACGATATAATTAGAAAATAGGCTGAAGAAATGAAGAGATATTTTATTGAAGAGGATATACAGCTGGCAAATAAGCACCTGAAGAGATGGTCAACATCATTAGCACCAGGGAACTCCAAAGTAAAACCGCAATAAGGTATCACTATACACCTAGCAGAATGGCTGAAACAAAAAACCAAGAAAACACCAAATGCTAGCTAGAGTGGATGCAGAGAACCCTTCAAACATTCCTAGTGGGAATATAAAATGGCACAGCCACTCTGCAAACAGTGTGGCTGTTTCTTTAAGAAGTAAACATGCAACAACCAAACCACTGAGCAATTGCAGTTTTGGGCATTAGGAAAAAGATTTTGCCTAAGAACGGAGGCTCAAAATGAAGTATAACAACAAAGGGAACCAACCTTAATAAGATCAAATGATCAGCTAGTAATTTCATTTCTGCTAGGAAAAAATTTCAACGCTATTTAGAGAACGTAATATAAAGTCTATCCAATATACCATCCACAATATCCAACCTACAATAAAAAGTCCCTATATCCGTAAAGAAGCCTTGACCCATAATCAAGGAGGTAAATGTCAGTAGAAGCAGAGCCACAAATAACCCAGATGTTGGAATGAGCAGAAAATGATTTTATAACTCTGGTTAAGAATCTAGAAGAAAAGACAAAATGAGTGAAAAGGGAAAGATTTTAGCAGTGAAATGGGGGAAAAGGAACCACATGGAAACTGAAAAATACATTATCTAAAATGAAAAATGCATTAGATGGGTTTAATAGCAGACTGGACATAACAGAAAAGATTAGAGAATTCCAAGACAGGTCAGTTTGGAAAAGTGGGAAAGCCTTGGCGACACACATACTGAGACCAGCAAGCCAGGGGGTGTGAATGTCTTCAAAGGCTCAGACGGCAGTTTCAGAACCGGCAGGGGTCTGGGTCCAACTGGAGTGGGGTTTTGTAAGATGTGATCCCATGAGTTAAGGGAGTTACAGACATTTGAACTAAGGTAGTTATAACTAATGGAAGGTGGGAAGGGAGTAAAGATAATGTGAAATAGTGAAGAAATGGTGAGGGCAGTGGATTTAGGGTCCCAATGTGTCTCACTGTAGGACTGGAAGCTTTAGAACTTCGCTCCTCAAAATGCGGTCTCAGGATCAGTAGCGCCAGCACCGCAGGGCACTTGTGCAGATTCTCAGGTCCTTCCCGAGACCCTCTCACTCCTGTTTCTGCAGGTGGGGCTCAGCAAGCGGTTTGACTAGCTCTGCAGTTAATTCTGATGCTGTTGAAGTTTGAGAACCACTCTTCTAGAATAAGAGAGCTACAAAGAATGGGGGGGTGGGCAGAGTGGGATGCTTGAGCTAGATCTTTAGGAGATGTCCAGTTGTGAGCAATGACAAAGCCTGAGATGGAGCTAGTGGAATGGGCAACTGTGACCACGTGGAAGAAAGGGGCATTACAGATACAATGGTCTAGGAAGCAAGAGACTGTATCTTAGATCATCCACATGGACACTGAACTTGAGTGATGATGGCAGAGAAAGACAGTGAGCCAGAAGCTGATGCAGTTGGTGGATAACGGGGCATGACAGAGAGATTGCAGTGCAACTGATGACTATAATCAAAAAGGTCAGAAAGGAGCACAGTCTGACAGCCCACCCTTTCAAAGAGTGAGAATTTAAAGAGAAAGGAAGAAAACTATTTGAAACTAGCAAGAGAAGCCACCTCTGATGATCTCCAAGTGGCGATCCCAGTCTACCTCTCAACCCATCTCCAGCTCCTCCAGCTGTGGCTGACCTTGTTATCTGCCTTATAGGCATTTTCTTCCCTTGTTGACAGACCCCAGGTTTAGCACATGCCTAGTTTAAAAGCTACATTTCCCAGCGTCCTTTGCACATAGCCCATGAGTGGCAGTTCCCTCCAACAAAACAAGCAGAACTGTGGTCCAGGCCTCTGAGAATGTACCTTTTGTGAGGAGATAGGGCCCTTTACTCTTTGCCTCTCCCCTTCTTCCTGCTGGAACCCTGATGACAGCCTGGAGTTCCCATACCAACCATGGGCTCTCTACCTCCTGAATTCTTCAATAGGAAAGAAAAACAAATGGCTAACTTGTTTGAGTCACTGTTGGTCAGATTTCCTCATATATGCAACCAAGTCAATCCCTAAAAGTCTGGGCTCAGAAGTGGAATCCTTTGGTTCTAATTCACCTCCCCTACTGAGAATTGGCCCCTTCTCTTGAGGGAAGTTCCTGGGGTTTAGGCACGGGCCTTCCCTTCTCTGTCCACAAAAGCAGACCCACCATGCTCTATCCCCCCCCAAAACTCCCCCATTCCCACATTTCATTTGGCAATATTGTCAGTATTATCAGTCGATTGATATTTATTTATTCTTCAATAAATATTTATCAGTGCTTGTCTTCCTGCCAGGAAGCACCAGATTGTACTTTTTTCTTACCCTCACACCAGCAGCCAGAATAAAGCTGTGCAAACAATAGATACTCAGTTAACACTTCTACATAAATCAAATAAAAACCTCGATTTCAACCTTCCAGGTGGAAAAAGCTCTGAATTGTCCAATAACCCTTTTTGTCTTTGCCAAGAATACAGCCTTCCCTTTTTTTCAAAAATGCCAAGTTTTCTGTACCTGACTTTGCTCCTGACTGCTAAAGGTCATAAAGGTTCCCTAATTTCTTGAAAGCCCCCACCTTCTCCATAGTAAGACCAGACTGAAGGTGGAGAAAGAATGGAAAGCGGCCTGCCAAGCTCTGAAGTGTGAGCACAAAGCAACCCAGCGCATGGAGGTCAGAAGACATACGGGCAGTTCCTGGGGCCTCTAGCCCACGTCAGGGGTCCTCCTGGAAGACGTTTTGTTTGAATTCACGTACAGTTTGTGTTTGTGGAAAAGCCTCCCATTCAGCTCCTGGATTGCAAGTGCCACTTTCTGCACGGAGCCCAGCTCTACAAATGCGAGGCTGCAGAGGAAGGAGACACGGCAGCTGTGAGCCCAACTCAGAACAGAGGGGCAGGAAGAGCTTCGTCTCCCCTTTGGCAACAACAGACAGCCGCCGTTCCAAATTGCACGGACAAGCCATGCTGATGTCCAGCCCCGTACAGACTGTTGCAGGCATCCGGGGGTGAGCGCTCTCACTTTATGCTATATGGCCCTGGCTTTGGGCTTCTTTCATACCACTCCCTCCAAAAGTTCAAAGCATTTTTATGGCCTTGAAAATCAGAAAGGGAAAATACCAGTTGATCCAGTTTTCTGGGGCAACCAAGACTGAGGCAGGTAGAGAAACTTACCTCAAGTAAGAAAACAGAACAAGGACATTACCAAAAGCAAACCCACGTTTTTGGACTTTTCAACCAAGGTTTGTATGGACAAGACAGTATTAGCTGCCAAGCCAGAGGGTTAAATATGGAAAGGGGGTTTCCCAAATGTCACTATGCCAAGTCACAGCGGGTGTGGCCCTGGGAGTTGTTGAGCCACTCTAACCTGAGGGCACCAGCAAAACGGACGAGGAGGAAAGGAGTTGCTTCTCAAAGAAAACAAAGGAAGAACGGTCCTTACCATTTGCAGCGGTCCTGGATCTTGTAGACACGGAGGGGGTTGAGGTCCTTTAGGAGATACTGAACTTCCTCCTGCAGTGGCAGGGTTCCAAAGAGACCCAGAGACAAAACTTACCACCAGTTCTCAAGGTTTCAGATGCGCAACCGGCAAACCTATAATCAATTGAACCCACACTTAATGAGAATCTGCTATGTGCATTGTGTGCCAGGCAAGGTTTCAGGTCCCCAACCAGAGAATTCATTATTAACTGAACCCACACTTAATGAAAACCTGTTATATGCACTGTGTGCCAGGTTTTGTGCCAGGTGATGCAAACACATAGATGAGAAAGATATGAGCCGTGAAGGGAGCGCAGTATGGGTAACTAACCTAGAACTGGAGGGAAAGGGGGTTGTGGGTAGGCTCCCAGGAGGAAGTGACTTTTAATTTATTAGGAGCCTAGGCTATCTCCTTTCATCTCTACCTAGGAGGGGAGGCTCACTTCTAAACAAACTTACTACACACGCCTTCCTGCCCCTGATGGCTCAGTCTCATATACACAGCAACCCGCCTTCACTTCTTGCTTCATGCATTCAACAGACATTCAGCAAACCTGTGCTAAGCAGTGTTACAGTACATACTAATTTGAATTCATGCTAAGCCCTGCACACAAGGCGCCCGTAGTTGAGAGAGGGTACACACGGGTGCTCTCCTGTCTAACACATGGGCCAAGTGAAGTCTGAGGGCAAGAGAACGCACGGAGAGGAAAGGGGTGGCCAGTGCACTGAGCCAGTGTAAATTTGTCTGTGGTCAGCCGCTGAGCAGGCTACTCACACCCGCCACATCTTGTCCGAAAGTCTCCCGTTCCCACTTCTCTTAAGGTAGCCGGGCCTCCACTGCCAAGGAGGTGGTCACCTCCCCACTCACTGGACATTCCTCCACACACACTCTCGGCCGCCTCTCCTCCCCGTCTGCCCTCAGGCTGCCTCCCTCCCCCGGGGACCCTCCCACTCCCCGGCTGGGCCCGCCCTCTCCATAAATGCCCCGCCCACCTTGGAAATAATGTCTGCATGACCTTGATGCCCTTAGGAACTACACCCTATTTTTCCTCTTTGCTGCCAAACTTGTAGACAGAGCCGTCTCCACCTAAAGCCTCCGTTTCCTCTCCGCCCATTCCCTCCTGACTGCCTGCAGTTTGGCTTCTGTTCTTGCCCCACTGAAACCTCTTTCTTGAAGGTCACAGGTGGCGCTTCTGCTGCCCATCGCCAACGCTTCTCTTCAAACCTCCAACTCTCAACCCCTACGTGAGCATCTCTCCACTTCCTCCTTCTTTGCCTCCCCACCAGCACGTTAGTGCTGCAAATTCCACAACCATAATGAAAACCAGTTTTTCCCTAGAAAATTCTATTTTTTCCAAAACGTATATTTATACCATCTTCTTTCAAAAGCAGCTTTTACCAACCTAAAGTCACTTTGTTGGCTTAGGAAAATAGAAATGCATTATGCATAACTCATTTGTCTCAATTTTGATGTTTATATTACATTTAAATTCAAATTTTCTAATTTGCTTTACTTTTAAATATTTAATGTTTATTACACATGAATCTACAAGCTGCTGAGCAACAAGCAATTTGTGAGAACAAGCAGTTATGTACTTAGCATTTTCTTTTATAAAGCACTTTCATATACTTTATTCCATTTGATCTTTCAAAAAAACCTTGTGAAGCACACATCATTTGTCCTCTTTCTCAAAAGCATAAATAAGGATCAGAGAGGTTAAGTGACTTCTCTAAGATTACATAGCCAACTTAGAGCAGAGGTTGAGCCCAGGGCTTCTGACTTCAAATCCTACATCCTTTTCATTATATCATATAATACCACAGCTTTCTTCTCTTCAGATTTCACCATCACTTAAATAAAGTAAGAAACGGCTTAATATTTTTGTATCAGGAAACCACAGCCTTGGGCCAAATCCAATACCCCCTTTTTGTCAATAAAGTTTTATTGGAAAACAGCCACACAAATTCATTTACTTATTGTCTGTGGCTGCTTTCAGGCTACAATGACACATCTGAGTGTCTGCAACAGAGGCATATGGCCTACAAAGCATAACATACTTACTCTCTGACCCTCTTACAGTTTGCCAACCCGTGTTCTATAGTTCTGACTGCTAAGGAGATTCAGCTGGAGAGTTGTTGTTTTTTTTTCCTTTTATAATTACCAATGCAGTGCCTGGCCCACCCCAGGTGAACAAACCCAGAATCTCTGGGGTTGGGATTAAAGTGGCAATATGTTTTTCAAAGCTCCCCAGATGATTTAGCATGCGGCCAAGGTCAAAAACTCCTGCTCCATGGTATCCAGCAGATTCAGGAAGCACTAGTTTTCAGGAAATGTGCTTGAAGGTTAGAAGAGAAGATCCCCGAACCCCAACCATATACACCCACACAAATACAAAAAAAACCTTGTGAACATCTTCTCATCCATGGGACTTCAATGTTACCAGTGAGTACTACCAAGAGTACCTTGGCAGTACTCTTAGAGTGGACAGCTAGCATTAGGAAGCCCTCAAATCTGAAGGTGTGCCTTCACTGTCACATTTTTTCCCCTGCCCTTTAATAGTTGAATTTGTCCATATAAAATTTTTCAACCAATTACAGATTTGACAGGAGGCTTGATACATTTAGCTAAAATTGCCTCTTGCCCCTGAGAGAATTTTCTACATCTCATTTCAAAGAATGAAAATAACTTACTAGAATTTTTTAATTACAAAAGCATTAAATGCTTATTATAGAAATACAGAAAACACAAAAAGAAAAGTTAAAAAAACACAGATAAGCAAAATAGAAGTACAACCCCATAATCTTACCACCAAAGCATGTGCACTGCACATCTATGTAAAGATTACAGGATCATGCTGTACATTCTGCTTGTAACCTGTTTCACTTAACAAGAGATCCCTTTCAATCAGTCATTATCAAAAACATCAAGGAAGGGATCTACAGCCTGCTAATAATTATGGTACCAGCATTTAAGGACCGCTGACTTCATGCTACAGGTAGAAGTTTACTGCATTTCCTGTGTGCTAAGTAATTCCATGCCCATCAGACTGGCAGCTACGTAGCAGCCCGAGGACACCAAGCGCTGGTGAGAACAGAGCTCTCACACTGCTGCGGCTGGTGGGAAGGCAAGCCAGCCCCCCTTCCGGGTGAGGCCGGGTGTACTGTGGGGCCGATCCCACACCCGGGTACAGGCCCTAGAGACTCACACTTTCACAAGGACACACACTCGGGCTGGTTCACTGAAGCTGTTCAAAGTAGTGAGAACTGTTGAAAATAATGGTCTGGACCATGTGAAATTGACATTTTTGCAGATAAAAAAGGTTTGAATGCCAGCAATTTTGAATGGCACAACATATGCGTCTGAATGTCTACTGGCATACATGTGCCAGTATAGATATTTTTTAATATACAAAATGATAAAAGTAAGCCACACACACACACACACACACACACAGAACAGAAAGGGACCCACAGCTGCCTCCCCGATCCCCTGAGCCCCCTCTGTCTCAGGGCCCACCCTGCACCGTCATTACCGGTGACTGCGCCGACCTCCACATGGCAATTTCAACCTCCACACTTTGTAGCCGTCTTCCCCACTCACCCCTCTAGCTCTTCCACTCCACTCTGGTACTGCGATCCTTCAACCCTGCCACTTTCCACCATCCGGCTAACTCCTGACTCTAGCCCAACTCTCCCGCTCTCCATTCTGCCCCACCCCACTCCACATGTCTTCACCTCCCTGCCTCCCTCTTCACCTGGCTGAGGTGCCTGGTTTATCACTGCTATCACTTCCGTGTGCAGAGCGCTTTGCAGGGCGTTCCTACTCCCTATCCCTAATCGTCAGCTCCCCACTCTCCCAAACTACTGCAGTCTACGTCTCTACTCAGACTTCCTATGCCCTCCCCTTCTACTCAACTGAGAACCCCCATTCTTAGTCCACAGAGAGAACTTCCCCACCCCGCCAGCACCGCGTCAGTCACCTCCCTGCACTCGTGTGCCTTCTTAAGGCCTTTGATGCTAAGTTACCTCCCGTCTCTCTGGCCTCAATTCTCCACTGGATGAGCCTCCAAATGATCTCTCATATTTGCTGTCTTAATACTTACAGACACAGAACACCTTCGACCTCACATCCTCCTCTGCTCCGACCCCGTTTTCCTACTCTCCTTCATTACGGAAATCCTGAACAAGTTGTCTATACTCACTGTCTTCACTTCCTCTCATTCATTCAATAAGTATTATTGAGTACCTATTCTGTGCTAGAAAATATTTTAGGGGCAGTGAACAGAGTACACAAAGACCCCTCCCCTCCTGGGACTTATCTTCTTCCAAAAGGACAGATTATAAGTAAGATGAATAAGTAATGTGTATGGCAAGTTCAACAGTGTAAGTGTTAAGGAGACATATAAGGTCAGAGAGGTGACAGCAGTAGAGGGCTGCAATCTAGGGTGAATGGCCAGGCAGGCCCTTTGAGGTGACATCTGAGTGAAGGAGGCCAACCCCTGGGAGAAGAACATGCTAAACAGAGAGAACTGCAAGTGCAAAGGCCCTGTGGCAGGGTCAAGATCTAGCAAGGAGGCCAAGACCGTTCAAGCCCTTGTTGTTCAAAGGTCAACCATCTAAGAGCTATAAATAATTTAATTTAACTTCAATTTTTTTCTATCTTTTCTCTTAAGATGAAAATTATGATTCCTAAGGAACTAATCTAATTTCTTGTTTTATCCTACATTAAATATATAACAGGTTCAAATAATATCAGGATTATTACTGACAACAAATTTATTGAGTAAAGTTAGTTTTCTTTGCAGTTCTTTTTATCCTCATAATAAGTCCTACTGAAAAGATAGTTGAAATACTATATTCTAAAGCAAATTTGAGTAATTCTTTTCTCTGACACCAGACTGGTTATGTCACCAATTTCTTCTGTTTGGGGGAGTGTTTTAAATGTGTAATTTTGATTTAATTATGATACTTTTTATATACTTAACAATGAGTTAAGTTCAGATACATAATTCCATCTTTTCTATCCTTTTATC